AATAAAAACTCAAGAGACTGAGTCATTTTGTTCTCGCTGTTTCTTGCAAGGGTTTCGAATATTCTCTGTAAGATCCAAACTACGTTTGGCTGAAGAATAACTGTTTATTTACGTAGAGACGCGTGGATGCCAATCGAAATCAGAACGAGGTGATTGGGGAAACAACGTTTCTAAGCAAGTTATTCCACTCAGTTATTCAACCAATAATTGTTCCCACAATGATCGATCAAAAGTTGTGTTATTCCATCCTTTCTGGACAGATCAAGTAAAAATCAGTTCAAAAGATAATAATTTGTTGCTTTATAACACAAAGTGCTTCCAATTCTGGAAAGTGCATCAATTCAAAACCAAAATGCACGATCCCAGTCAAATCAAGCAACACAATCAAAGAGGGAACAATCAATATGGCTACCGCCAAGATTAAATATCAATTAAAACAACATAGATACAGTTCGGAAAGAAACATAGAAATTCAGTAAAAGCAAAAGAAAAAATGAGAAAACTATTATGAAATGAAACATTACAATCTCAAATGGCATCAAAAAGATCAACAAAATGTACAACTAAAGAAACCATTGGGAAGAAGTTGCAAGTGTATGCATGGAGGGGTTTTCACACACGAAACCTTCGAAATGGATCTTACACTCTCTTATACTGTTCGTGTGTTGATAGCTTATTATTAACCTGGCTCGGTGTGATGCTTGATTACACCTTCAGCCTCATGCAATCCGCTGACGTCTACCTATTTAGGTTGGTAGTTTTGTTGGTCACGGAAATATAAAGTAAGTTTGGCGCAACCTTTGTCATAACCAGTGATCAGTTGTGTGCACTAATTGGAACTAAAGTCTTGTACATGACCATGCTGGTGACAGCTGATCACGATGTTGTCATTCTTTGTTTGGGCTTGGAGAACTCAAAACAGCTGATAGACGATGAATGTTATAGGGGCTGGTGCTGACCAAAAGCCGGTTGTTGTTTCCTCAAACATTCACAGAGTGGTCGCCACTCCCTCTTATGCTATCAAAAAGACCTCAATAACCGCCTACTTGACTCTCCTATGTTCCATAACTTTCAATCTTCGCGTTTAAACATCCTGTTAGTCTCCTAACAATAGTCCATTGAGTTCAACTGATAATAGAACTTATCCTTGGTTATAATCGGTCTACAATCCATCATTATTTCGTCCACTTTCTCCTCACTGCAGTGAAGCTTTTTAACCTGATGGCAGACAAATGACTATTATTTAAGATACAGCAGATTGGTGCTGCTTCTGCTCTGGAGATTAATACATCAATAATGGCCAAACCAGACGACATCGCAGGATAATAAAACTAATCCACATGAAACAGGTTTCTCGGATCGACAAGTGGTGGGCGTATTTTCAGTATCCTACTTGGGGTTTGATACTTACCTCAAAAACCTAGAATGGCCACGTGGAAAAAGTTTTAAAAGACAACCTAACCTGCTGTTAATTAATCTGCATCGAACTGCGAAATCTAGGAGAAAACAGTTCAAAAGTGACATATGCCTTAAAGAAGGCGTATCCATTTATTTTATTTGGTCGCAGTATTCATAAATCCCACCACTTAGCACTTTGTATTGTTTAGACGTCAAATAAATGTTCATGAGGATGAGGGTTTGAGTTAAAAAAGAGCAGAAAATGCTGAAATGAAGTGGAGTAACATAGAAAGTTAAAGCTTTGTTACTTAAACAGGTTAAAAGTAAAGATTAGTTTCAGTATAGGGTCGTGGAGATTGCGGGATTGCTTTGAAATCATAAACCAATCCATGCGAGACCACTATTAAAAACCGGAAGGCTGTGACAGCCGTTTTTCTTGGCAGTTCGCATTCACGGTCGCACATGTGGGGCTAGAACCATGGATCTCTGGTCTTCCACGAAGGCCACTGATCTGACATACAACGATGTCAAGTCCATCTTTAAACAATCCGAGGCATTGCGCAATCATGTTTCACTGTCTTTGCTGTCCCTAACACTGAATTATAATACGTTTCAGTTTTGCTCTGGAGGACCAGATCTCATAAACTCCGAAGACTATATGCTCAATGAGACCTCACTGTCATCATGGAACGGTTTGGAGTCGTCGGATTAAAATTTACCATGTAGTTTCATAGAAAGTGATGTTATGTGGCTCTATGTTGTACATTTTTCGCCTGACAGCGGGGATTTCACATTCTAACTCTCTTAAAATGTTGTATTATGGAAAACGAACACTGTGTGTAGCAAGGGTCTTCTTGAGAATAACGTCTTCAAGTGAAAAGCCAGACTTTAATAAGCAGTTATACTGGTGTCTTCTGAGTAAACGGAATTTGGTTGTAATGTTTCAGTATTCAGTTATTCGCGAAATTACATGCTCAGTGAGATTATTGAAATTATATAAGTAGAAGTTAAAGTAGAACACTTCTTAATCGGTTTGTGTCTAGGAAAATCAGCCTCAGGTTTCAGTCCGATTGCCTGGGAGTTCTCAGTTTAGTTTTAATAAGTCTTATCCCTTTCAAGAAGGTGAGTGAGTTAGGGCCATGACATCTAAAGAGTTCAGAATGTAATTTAAGTTATACAGATAAGATAAGGTGTAAAGCTCTATATAATCTTATTACATCACTAGCTGATACATCTTTCAGGTTGTGTTTGTCTTGGGTGGTTCTTGGGTGGCCTAATTTGCAAGTAAGCATGTTGTCCGTTAATCCTCTCTTTGATGAGGGATGCAACTTACCATTGCGGAAGAGGTTGTGAAATGATGATCGATTTACTTGTAGATTGTAAAAATTATGGTCATCTATGAAATCCGTATAATGTCAAACTTCAGTCTATCGTGATAAATAATACTGATAGTTAAAGATTTTGAATGAGATGTCTCAGTTGTAGTCAGGTAGTGGTTTGTTTCTTTATCTCTCATATATCTTGCATTTCAGCGTTACTTATGATATCGGTTATACTAATAATTCCCTGCGTCTTGAACTCTCTGTTTTACCAATTACTTTGTCTTTCATCCGCATATATACTTGTAGTTTCGTTTCACTGTGATGTCATTTGCAACTAAACCAACATTGCATATTTGATTGAACATAAATTATTTTTAGTTTGTTGACCAAGATACACTCACAAGGTGTATGCTTTTACTGGCAGTTGGGTATGTCCCATCCTTGAGTTACTTCTTCATTTTTATTGACCGCCTGTCAAGTAACCCTAGTCCACGGGTTCTTGTATACGTGAGTTATTTGGAAAGCACAAGACCTTTGACATTCAGGTTAAGGCAAATAGAATAATTAACGGGTAAATTGGAAAATCATCCCTACTTGACGCTGAAAAACTAAATGTCTTAGTCGCCGATATTCTTGTTGAATCAACTCCTTAATGGATTCAGGGTTTCATTTTTCACCACAGAAAATTATTTGTATATTAATCTGTCTGACAGTATGGATATTCTTTCGCATTCCATTAATATTACTCAGTAGAAGCATCTTTTATTGCTGCTTTAGGTACTTTAACTTCAGACTGATACAAAACTGTTTCCAGGGCAAATTTAAGACAAGCCCAAGAAATACTATTCAGATTCTGAGACAGTTTCATAGAAGGGAAACCAAAAAAACTGCTTAGACTTAAGAATAAACCTTACCAAGGTTGCCTGGTGGCATTGACATTGTGACCTATGTGACTCAGAATATTACAGGATTTACTAGCTGGGCAAATAGCTTCTAACGAAACATTATAGGTTACCAGAAACCTTGTAAATCATACGAACGATGAAACTATTCTAGTATGTTGAACAACTTACGACTATGTTTGTCGCCTTCAAAAGGAAATCACTGTGTCTGTAGCAGTATCCCCATAATCACTCTTGTGGTAGCCTGTTCTGGACTTCGACCAATCCGCAAAGAGACCTATTATGCTGCTGTCCAATGGTAGCATGCCACGCTAATATTCTAGAAACCAACACCATGTTTTGATTGGATGGAAAATCACCGAATTCTTTAAAGCCTCTAGAGGCTTCGCTGTTGTTCTCGGAAGCCGAATCATCAGGAATATAGACAGCTTGTCACTATTCAATAATTTCTACCCTATTATCTACCTTTTCCCTGCAATTAGCAATCAAGACTCTCAGAGCATGTACCTCTTTACTCGTGCCTCTGTCACTGTGTACTCATGGTTGATGTGCTTTTTGGCTTAGATATGTCTGTCATCTGATTTCTGCCTGTAGTTTTTACACTTACTGATTTCTGTAAAAATTGACAATTTAGTCGTTTAATAAGTTAAATACTGACATCAGTATCCATTGTTCTTACATGATTCATCTGCTCTCTACGCGCACATGTAAAAGTACTCATCCCTATTTGATCTTATGTTTCCACGTTTCATTAATGTGGTCAATTGATAGAATGTGCATGTATGTATTTCATTAGGAACGTGTAGTTGTCTAGAGTAAACAACGGGTACTAAATGTCCTTAAGAATTACTATTGTAATAAAGAGAGATATTTATGAGCATCAAAATGCTTACAAGTTTTTAGCCAAGTAGATATCGTTGACAATCATCTGTAGGATGAACCGAATCGAGTGACGCCAGAAGGCATCTAAAAAGTTAATTACGCCATATGTGTTGAATTCTTTCCGAATTTTTTTTAGTATCTCCTACAAGGTACCGAGAATCAGTATTTCCATTTACTTGTAACTGAACTAATGTTAGAGACTATGAAGCTAGTATACTAATAAAGGCACGAAAAAAAGATGTTTTCCGTATTCAGTTTGCACGCACTCAACTGTACGACGTTTTTTGAAGAACGAACTTTCATATACGAACATTTGTTTAAGTCACCTAATTGGAGCAACTCTTTTGAAACGCGTAATATCACTTGATAGTCAAAATCGATGGGTAATGCACAAGCTGCTAAAAAGGGTGATCCGGCGGATGGTAAGTAAAAGTTTTATATATTTTTCATAAATTAATTGTCAATTTTTCATGCATCGTTTAATTTGAACTTTTAGTGAAAGCTCTTTTGGAAGAAGCAAAGAAAGAATTTCTAGAAAAATGGGAGAAGCCTGCTCAGGTGTGTTACTTGTTGATTTCTAATTTTTTTAGAACACAGCCACTTTGGATTCGTTTGACCGAATCAAAACTTTGGGCACTGGGTCTTTTGGACGTGTTATGTTAGTCCAGCACAAAGTCAGCAAAGAATATTATGCTATGAAGATTTTAGATAAACAAAAGGTTTTTGAAGTTACTTAAGTTTTTATTTTATGTACAGGTGGTGAAGTTAAAACAAGTTGAACACACGTTAAACGAAAAGCGTATATTGCAAGCTATTTCATTCCCGTTCCTTGTCCGATTGGATTACCATTTCAAAGTAAGTCAGCAGTAAATGATTCAAACTGTTATGGTAGTAACCAGAGCCATAAAACTTTCGACCACTATATTAGTATTCGGTTTTTGAAGGTTTTCAGGGTTATTGTTATGGTTTTACCTATGTTTAATCATATATAAGTAGTCTATACATTATGTCCTTCAATTTATTCCACCGCATTTATTTTTCTGGTTGTTTGTGGGGTTGGGCTATAATATATATTAATAGATATGTCTATATATGCATTTAACGTTTCATTTGCGTTCTGCTACAATAATTTACTATCGACATTCCATCCCTAAGGTCAGGGTACATCCGGTCCAGAACTCATTTATGCAACTTCAGATAATTTTTCTTTTAACCCTTTGTAAGGTCGTAAACATGTTTTCTAGAAACCTTTCCAAACTTCCAAATTGTTCAAGTAAACATCAGAGTTGAGTGCGTGTTATGAAGTGGAAGGTGTAATGCTGAAGCTTTTATAAACATCGTCACATGCTTCATGTAAAGTGGGCTATTAAGATTTCTGCACATACACAGTTAACATCTTGCCGTATCATGATTCAACTTTTCAGCTAAGAGAGAAAACCCCGACAGAATTATTTTATTAAGCTACAAGTCTTTATCTGGATTAGACACATTTGTGCTAATTCGTTTTTTCACTATAGTCAATAAGATAATTCAATGAAATGACTTTGTTACACAAATTTGTGAAAGTATCCAAACCTGTTTAGAGACGCTTAGTATATATCACCTCATTCTATTCGGGGTATAACTAACAATATGATTTACTTCAGAGTTAATTTTGAAGGCGTGAAAACAATTAATCTCCATGGATTTACTGTACTAAGGAAAATACATAATGTTTGAGTAGTTGGCATCAGAGCATACCTGTACAGAACTATTTTTATTTCATGTAGTCAGTCAGTCAGCTACAACGTAGGACCGAGCACATAAATGCATCGGTCCAAGTTGCCATACCTCGTTAGCACAACAAGATGAACACCGGATTTATAAAAGAAGTTAATTTAGTGGTTGTAGTATATAAAGAAAGGTTGTATATAAGGAAGGAAGGAAGAAAGTTATGAAGCAATTTTAATCTCAAGGTTTAAGGGAAGGTAAAGAGTGTATACACCTACGCCATTGTGATCGATTCTGAGCGATGTCACCTAGAGTCTCCAACCATTGGTTACGATAGTCACGCGGACCCCAACCGAGTAGTTTGCATCTACCAACATGGCTCAGACTGGAAGTTAGTGACTTGAAGGAGTGATACCACGTTTTGTTTTGGCCACCCCTAACTCTTTTCCAACCATCCCCTACACTAGTGAGCAAAGCGCGTCGTGGTAATCGGTGTTCAGGCATACGTAACACGTGGCCCAACCATCTCAGTCGATGAAGATTCATGATCTCATCAACTGACTTACCATCATTCCCTAATACCCTGTGTCTAACCTCACTCACTATTACTTACCCGGTTATCCCATCAGATACGAGCAATATTTCCCAGACATCTGTGGTCAAATACTAGTAACTTACGAGTATCTTCTACTCTTAATGGCCATGTTGCACAGCCGTCAAGTAGAACAGAGCGAACTGCTGCGCAGTATACTCGTCCCTTAATTGATAGACGGATATCTCGTCTTCGCCATAGGTGACGTAAGTTGGCAAAAGCCAAACGAGGTTTTTGAATCCGTGCTGAGATTTCGTCAGACACCAATCCATTAGGGCTGACCAGAGTTCCAAGATAAGTGAAGTTGTCAACGCGTTCGACTTGTTCACTCCCTATCCATAGTTCAGGTGTTGACACAGGCCAGTCCTGGAGTAACAATTTGCATTTGGATTGGGAGAAACGTATCCCAAACATGCTGGCATTATTACTCAGTTCTAACAAGACTCTGCATTTTGTCAGCGTCTTCACCAAACAGGACTATCTCATCTGCGTATTCTAAGTTGATAAGTGAACCTCCTGGTAGAAGATCAATTCCTGAAAATTCAGTCGGCGAGAGTGTTATATCCAGCAACAGGTCTATAATGAAGTTAAACAAAAATGGGGATAGTGGACAGCCTTGACGGACACCACTTGAGGTTGTAAAATTATATGACAGTTCGCCATAAGCTCTCACTCGACTAATAGTGTTCGAGTAAAGAGCCTTCAAAAGGTTTATGTACTTCTCAGGTACAAAAACATGTCCTTTTTTAGGAAAATCTAATTAGTTAGCGAACTGCATCTTCGAATCCTTCACCAAAGTCTAAATGTCCATTTGAACCAGACGTTTTTGAAAGTGTAATATAATTCTACTGTAATCGTGTATAAAATATGTGTGGATAAAAATCCAGTGCATAAACTTTAACCGGGTTATTGGATTAAATTATAATATGTAAACATTTCTGAAATGTATTTATAATTAGTATACCATGTAGATGATTTACATCATTTATTTTTCTAATGATTTAAAACGCTTCATATTATTTGATTCTCTTATTACTATAGGACAATAGCAATTTGTATATGGTATTGGAATTCGTTAATGGAGGAGAAATGTTTTCCCATTTAAGACGCATTGGTCGTTTCAGGTAATTAAAAATGTATTGTAATTATGTTTTGAGTAGAAATTCATGTGTGTATACACGTGCATAAGGGAATTATTCGTTATGCTTTCATTACAGTAGATACGCATTACCGAATTAGACTATTATTATTATTACTATTATTACATAAAACCATGTGTGAACTATAAAGTTTGAACGATGGATTTTTTACTGGCAGGTGGGGGAATTTCATCAGTAAAGTATCTCAATGTATATAAATGAACAAAAGCAAGGATATCATCGATTTAAGGGGTTAGTGCAAATTGTCTAGTTTAAGATCAGTTTTCATCAGATGGAAGACAAACTATAAAAACTTAGAGAGCTCGGAAAAATCTTTTGTTCTCAGTAGTATTTTGCTTTGCAACTTAGCTAGAAGTCAAAAAGTGACTACCGAAATCTTAGAATTATCACGTTGTTTCGGTAATATAGTGTTGTTGCTTACTTACTTACTTTTCTGGTTAGCGTTTTTTTAACGAGTTGGTTTTCTACGGGATGAGGTCGCTAACCCCATGTCCAACCCTCCTCCTTTACCCGGGCTTGGGCCCGGCAGTAGCCCCCGGAGGAGCTACAGGCTATTCTTCCTTAAATATTCACCAATTACGTTGAACAAGTAAACCGCCAGACATATTAGTGTTTCATATTGCAAATTACGCGCTTGCTTCACTAAAACCAATATAGTAAACAACGAAACACTGAATAGCTGCTTTGCCTTAGCATGCTTTCACCAGTGAATAAGTTTGAGGATCGATTATTCAACTTTAAGTGAGTGGGCATGATTAGTGGAGTCCAACCATTTCAGGTGTGAGGTAGTTGCTTATCAATGTAATTGGGAGGTGGTTACACAATATCGCAAATTGATTTGTGTTGGAAATGTAAACCATTAAATAGCGACTATGGTTTAAATCTTAAGTGCTCACAACGAAGCCTGAGAGTCTTGGGTCTGATTCCCTATAGGGGTGTGTGTACTCACTGTTGTAGAGTCTTATAGCAGGATGGAAAAATATTCCTATGCTTCTTGGTTTTTCGTGGTCATCTAAAGTTATTTCGTAATGTAAACTGCGTTGTGTGCATATTTGACCATAATTTTCGTTACCGGTTAACTATTCACTGTCTGCTAAGTAAAAATATTTGAAGGTATGAAATTCGTAGACGATATCTTACTAACTTTTTTATTCTTTTGATGATTATAATGGTTCTGAGGATAGTTATATAATTATTGTTTAATTTTAGTGATAGAAACATCTGACAACAATAAAAACTACAATTTTTGACAGTTGAAGTTATTATAATACAACAGCAAAAAAATTAAAGTTATTTCGCCCTTATATTTAAGTCAGAGTGGGATTTAACTGTTTGAGACAATATATTTCCATAATTAAACCCAGACATTGTGTTAAACTGTCATTTCTGTGATCCAAATGAGGTATTTGCAAATCGATACCATCACAAAATCACCATGATAACTAATCTGTAATCATTAGATCTTGGGATAAATTCTTCTGGATAAAATGCTTTGCTTCTTTTTGGGAACTCTTTTGATCTTTAATTTATGGCATGAATCGAAAAGTAAAGCGTTTAGTATGTGGACCTTTGGCACTCAGCTTTGGGACTTCCTTTCATGTAATGTCTAGTGATACTACTCGGCCGTCCAAACAAAGTAGGTGGGGCGAGACTCCAACTTGAGACCAAGTGGTTAGAAGTTGGATACTTTGACCACTAAGTTACTGCTCCACAAAAAAGGTTAACCGGATTTGTTCTATTCAAAATGCCTTTTACCATAATACACTGTATTACCTCAAAGCATCACTAACCTAATTTTTACCACCGTTTTCATCCTTAACCATTATTGCCAGGATCATTTCTACTTTAAATGTGCCTTCGGTTTGATAACTTTCAGTTGACTAGTCGGTTTTATGTTTTTAATTAGTTTTGACTTTGTTTAGAATCGGGCATTCAATAAAGTTAGTAGTTGGCATTGTTCATAAATCTGTAACCAGCCTTTGATATTGTTTTCACTGTGAATAGCATTTAACTTACTATAAAGGTATACTATTTGATGCGTTAATTTAAATCACTTAACCTGTTTGTTATTGGTCAAGAGCTAGCAAATGGTCACTTTCTTGAACGAATGTAAAAGATGCTCGACTTACATTTGCAGTTATAGACAACGTAGAACCTAGGATAAATGTGCGTCAAGTTTCCACCTTGCATTTACACATCAATATGTGATTGTCAAAATAAAATACTAATGTGTTGGAAGTAGTTCTAGTAGTAATATCAGTGGGAGTATAGAGAATTATCTATGGAGAATGTAATTCAAAGAGAAAATGCCGATTCGTATGACTATAGTATAGAACATTTTTGCGACTCACTCGATGATCCCAACATATACGATTGACATTTTGAAGAAATGTTGTTTGAATCTTCCCATTGATGTTTAGGATTGCAGTTGATCAGTCTCTTATTGCCATATCTGCATCTTGTGTGGGTTGACTTGATATTACATTAGCACAATAAGCAGAGATGGATGGTGGCCAGCAGTGGAATGCAGACGCACGTTTAATTTTGTTTCGTGACTCGTCAGCTTGACGTACATGCATCCCATAGTTGATATTCGCTCCTGGACTCTAATCGATTACCGTTTGCTTCAAACGCCGGTTGTTAATGTCATCAAGTGAATTTGATCGAACTGATGAGCCCCAAATAGGATGGAATGTGCATCCTGAATTCCACTGCTAGCCACCATCCATCTCTGCTTATAATGCATGATCAGTTTACAATTGGTCTTAAAGATCTTATAGGTGGAAATTATTGAGGCAAGTAACAATATTTTAGTGAAGAAGTGGTGAATATTAATTAATCTAAATTACCGGACTCATGTCTCGTTAAGTGCAATTTTGGAGATAGTAGGCATACGTTTTCAGAACCATAGTATGATCAGTAGACGGGATGGTATTGTTGTTCGAAAGTTCTGTTTTTTCTCTAAAAAGTAGACATTATTATTATCTAGTCTAATCAACCTCTAAAAACCAGCAGTTCAAAACAGATATGAACATCTAACTTTTAACTAATATAGCAGGATTAAAACACGACTTTTTACTATAAGTTCTATTGACTATATGTATCTACTTTAGTATTTATGGATGAGAATACGGTAAAAGTGTCAGTTAAAAGAATTAATCTTTTCTTAATTACAATGTTCTCTTTTTATCTCCACCTATCATATTTTCCGTTGCGTTCTGTAGTTTTCTATACCGGATGTACATATTATGTTAGAAAGCTGGCTTGAATAATGGCATTACTAGACATGATTTAATATTAAATTCACTTAGTATTGTTTGTTTGAATCTTCCCATCGATGTGTTAGGACTGCAACTGGTCAGTCTCCTAACACATCGATGGGAAGATTCAAACAAACAATACTAAGTGAATTTAAACTTCACCCCATCGCACAAGCAAGTGGCTATCAGGACTCAGTGGCCGAGTGGATAACGCGACAGCGTTTGAAGCGAGGGTACTGGGTTCGAGTCCCAGAGTGAACATCAACTCTGAGATGCAGGTACATCCAGCTGTCGAGTCCCAAATAGGATGAAATGCGCGTCAAACTGGATTCCACTGCTAGCCACTATCCATCTCTGCTTATCATGATTTAATATTGTTGTGATTTAACTATACACATTTATCAGTTTTCATCTAAAACATAAACATTTGATTACTTTATTCTTCTAGTTTATTTTCTTTATCTAATCCGTCCTGGCAATTCCACTTCGTCTAGTGAATATGTGAAACATTGACTATTATTTAGTTTTTATCTATTAGTTTATTAAAATTTATATTTGAACATCAAATACACTAAATTCTGTTAATATAAAGGAGTTATTTCACAAGTGTTGAAGTTTTATTCAACTGGACTTAATTTTTGGCATCAGTCAGTCAGTCAGTCACAACGTAGAACTTCGTACGTACGTACGTACATCAGTTCCAGTTGCCATACCACATTAGCACAGAGATACAGTTGTCGATTCGAATCCCATAGTGGTAGAAGTACTAAGAGCATAAACATTATGTGAAAGATTAGGGTTTGAAGATGTCATTGAAGGAGTATAGTACAGTGAAATAAATTTGAAAAGAGAAAAAGGATAGGGACATGAAGAATTTAGAAGATTAGAATTTAGTAGAACACAAAGAGTGGATGCACCTTCGTCATTGCAAACGATTTTGAGCCACGTCATTCAAGATCTCTAACTATAGATTGCTATCATCTCGAGAAGCCCAACCAGGTAGTCTAAACCTACCAACATGGCTCAGTCCACTTGTCAGTGACTTCATGGATTTATGCCATGTTTTGGTCTGGTCAGCCCTAGCTTTCTTTCAACCTACTCCTATACCATAAAGCATTGCACGTCGAATTTTCGGCATACCATTTTCAAACATGGAGTTTATATAATTATCAGAAAGGATATATTAATTATTTCGTGGATATCCAAGAATTTGTTGATATATGAATATCGTGATATGGTCACTTTGTCACAGTTTTTAGAAAATCATTGAATTGTGGTTAGCAGTCGAATGCAAGACTCACATTCCGTTCCAATTGAGACTCATCATTTAGATTAACAGAATAGCCCCGAAGTCTTTTTTATATTTTATAAACATCATGCTTATTGGATAAGTTAGTGGATATATGAACTCACTGGCTCAGTATATAATGCGTTGGAAATTTGAAAGGAGAAGTACTAGGTTCAAATTTCAATGTGGACGTCAACATTGGCATACAGGTACATTCATTCGGTGAATCCCAGATAAGACGAAACAGACGCTCTGGACTCCACTGTTAAGAACAATCCGTCTGTTTCATACAGAGTTTGTTTGTTCTCAGAAATTATTCGTTCTTTTTGTCCGTTTGATACCAATCGATCAATCAGTTAGTTACCCATTTTCACGCAGCATAGAAGAAAACAGTAATCATTGAGTCTATCGATTTT